TTTTTTTTTTTTTTTTTTTGTAAAGTATGATGGTTTGTGTGAATGAATTAGTGTCTGTTTACCCTTGTAGCTTGTGATCATGTCACATATCTCCTTGAAGATGTGTGCCAGGCGTGCAGTGCGTGTAACTTCCGTGTTCTCCTCGGCTGCCGCAAGTCTGCGTGTGCGCACAGAGCGTGACGTCTGCAGCGCTGAGAACTGAGTCAGAAATACATCTGGAAAAAAGCAACACACAATGCTAATCGTGCAACATTTACCTGAAGTCTCAAAGCAGAATAATGACACTTGAGATCAAGTTGATGAATTGTGCGCATGTCCACACACCTGACTTGATGTTGCCATCATCGCGGATGACTCCTCCCCAGCGTGTGTAAAGAGACAAACCACTGTTCTCCCTCTCTCGCTCTCCCTCTCGCTTAAGAAGTTCCTGTTTCTCCCGCATCTTCTCCCAATTCCGCAGCAGGAACACTCGATGTTTCAGCACAAAGTTCCTAATTTCAACAAGAAACCAGCAGAGGATGTCTGAGTGTGAGAGATTGGTCTATTATATTAGGTCGTTTCATATAAAGTCACTCCGTTTATTTCAATGTGCCAAATGTAAAATGAAATTATGACTGTTTTTGTTACAAATACATCCTCTACTGGTAATTGGACTTGCAAAGCGTGTAAAATATGACCCTTTAAAACCAGAAAATTAAAAGTGTGTGATGGCATCCTACCTCTCTCTGTTTGACATAGGCTTCATTAAAAGGTGCTGGTAAAACTTGCTGCTGTCACTGGACTCTTCCTCCTTAATGGTCAAATACAAAATAATGGTTTTGCATTAGGAAAATGTTGTACTAGCAGCTACTGTAGCCAATAGTAGTGCATCATTATTGAATGAACTGTGTCATACCCGTTTCTTCAGTGAGTGTTTGGACTTGCGTTTCTCTTTCAGTCTCCCCAGCCTCCGGGCTCCGCCCCCTGATCCGCCCCCTTTCCCAGGCAGCCCATTGATTCGTTGGCTCTTGCCGCCAATGATGCCACGGCAACCCTCTGAGCCACACTTGCAGGCTTGCTGCATAGCAACAAGAGCAGAGAAACATTATCATTTGGCAAGCAAGAGGAAAATGTTAAACATCTACTACAGGTCCAATCCACCAGCATATCAAAAACCTGATGTTAAAATGTTAAAAAAAGAAAAATAAATGTAAACTATCAGTGGTAATCAACCTTGTTAATGTGAAATATTACAATAAATAAAAGCTTAAAAAAAAAATAATAATTCTCAAGTCTTCTAAACTCTGTGGCTGAAGTTATTAAGCGGCTATGAGTGATTGAATCAACACCACCGATCATCCGCTACAAAACACAGCTGCATACATACACACTGTGCATGTGTATGTACATGCTTCAGACAGGCACGTTCCTGACATGCAGGATACGGGTGGCCTCAACTCTTCCAACGTACCTGTTCTTCTGTGTTGAAGGAGTGGAAGTTGTAGTCATATGTCAGCTCTGTTCCGCTGTCGACGTCTTTCAAAGCAAACAGACCAATACGGTACACTCCATTCACCGACCTGAAAGAAAGACGGACAGACTGATGATTTAAACTCAACTCAACCTTAGTCAAGTTTCTAAAGCAACAATACAGAAAGCTGCGGAGCATCACTACTCTAGTCTTCAGTGTCACATGATCCTTCAGAAATCATTCTAATATCCTGTTTTCTTGCTCAAGAAACATTTATTTTTTATTATCAACACTGAAAACAGTTGTGCTGCTTAATATTTCTGTGGAAACCGTGATACATTTTTTTCAGGACTCTTCAATGAATACAAAATCCAAAAGAACCGCATTTATTTGAAATATGATTTTTTTTGCAACCATGTCACTTGATCTAATGATCTACTGTCACTTTTGATCAATTTCCTGAATAAGACTACTATTTTCTTTCCAAAAACTGTTGAACTGTAGTGTAATCATGTTAAACGCCTTGTCTGTCTTACTGCTTTAGGCCCAATCCCAATTCTATTTTATACCCCTTCCCCTTGACATTTCTTTGAGTAACATGACCGTAATATGAACTCACGATTGAATGCAACATAAAACAAATGATTACTTTTCGTTAAAATCTTTATTAATGCCAAAAAATGCTTACATTTGTGTCTTTTTGTTCTCTCGGGCAGCCATGTTGCCGCTGAAGCCGGTTTACGCTGAGATAATTCATACCCCTTCGTTTGAAGTGTGGTCCCGAAAAATCTTCGTTTGAAGTGCTATCTGGCCCTTCCCCTACCCCTACCCCTCCAACCAAAAGAGAATTGAGACACCCCTACCCCTTCACGTGAACGCGCGAAACGGAGGGGTAGGGGAAAGGGGAAGGGCTAAGGGGTAGAATTGGGATTGGGCCTTAATATATTGTAGCTACGCTGCATATGAATGTTGAGCCTCGAAAGCAAATGAACTCAAGCAACATCAAGCATTCTGGGTTTGATATTGAACAACTAGGCTGAGTTGTACATTATGCAATAAGGTAGAATGAGGCCATTTTGCCACAGATGTGGGTGTGTGTGTGCTCTAACAGCTAACCACTGGGCAGCACAGCTGTGTCCCCCACCCTAAAACACAAGCTATAGATAATCGCTCTTCTGTGACAAGATGGATGATCTGCCACCATCCAGCCTACAAGCACTGTTTTTAATGTGTGTATGTGTGTGTGAAAGAGAAAAACGTAGACAGAGCAAGAGATGGAGGAGATTACATTTTTCTGTGGACTATGTGTGAACACCAACACCTAATGTGTGTGTAATTGTGTTACGGTACCAAGCAGATGTTGGTCACTGACCTGGATCTTGAGTTCACAATCTCGTTGCTAATATATAATCCTTCAGATTTTGACTAATTAAGCTAATTTATGAAACAACAGTTTCAACAGCAGTGACCTCTTCCTCTTTAATTTGTTCAACATGACCATGGTTTGTTCATAATACAGCCATTTCTAAAGGATAAAGTCATTGCTCACTCAGTACTTGTGATCGTCCACGTCCCCAGTGACTCATCGTTAAAAATGACCTTTCTGATTCAGAACATCAGAAGCTGATGGAATTTTATTATTGTACTTCTTCAGTGACTCATCAACGGTTTTGTTTTACTCACCATTTCTGCATCTCACAGTTGGGCTCACAGCTGTGGTTGACAAAGCGAGCCTCGTTGCCCATGCGGTAGCTGTCGATGACCATGCCGCTGTCCAGGTTCAGACAGTAGTGGCCACTGTGGGAGAAGTACTGCTCCATCATGCGACTCCTAAACACAAAACAGACTTGCTGAATGTATGATAATATTCTTCAGAACAGCAGATTAAACAATCAATCAAGTAAAACTAAACTAAAAGCCTTTCCCGAGTCCTGTCAACTCTAAACTGTCCTATCATCATGAAGTCAAAAACGCAAAAAATTTTTTAATTAATTAAAAAATAATAATGCTGTAAATAAGTTCAGTTTCTTGCACAGAACAATCGTTTTGCTTCATAAGACCTCAATATATCGTCAGGAGCCATGGGTTTTGGGTATTAAAGACGGGCAGCCGCTGACTTGCATTTTATGAATCACCAAGGTTTCAGCAAAAAATCTTCTTTACTGTTCTACTCAAGAAAAAAACTCGCCTACATCTTGGATGGCCTGAGGGTAAGTAAATTAACAGCAAACTTTCATTTTTGGGTGAACTATCCCTTTAATAGTGCAATGTAGTTGCTACCAAAGTCTCTTTAAGGCAAGTCATATCACTCGGCGGCCATCTTTGAAACGCCTCTCGGGCATGCAAGTGCAACTTCTATTTCTTTGAATGGGGAAACAACAAATTTTCCAAAACTGTTCATGAAGCTTGCGATTAAATTTCATATTTGAAATCACCAAAGAAATCTGACGACAACTGACAAAAATCTTAAATGTTGTTTATTTTGCTCAAATAGCATTATAAAAAGCGTATTATTTAGGCTAGATCAGCCAGTGCGCATGCACAGTCCTAAGCGCACATTTTAGAGCGCTGACTGTTTCTATAGCAACCGGGACTTCTAACGGCAGGTGCAGTGACACGCCGACTTTACCGATTAGCAATTGGCTCTTTCATTCAGAAGGCGGACCTTCTTGCGATTGAGCGGCCATATTGAGCGTTGCATTTTTCCCCATTCATTTTTCCGTTGCATTTTTCCCCATAGCAACCAAGTCTTTGGTTGCTACCCTCTAATTCTTAGTTAGAATGTTTTAAATGCTTATATCTTTGTGCAATTTTGTGCATAGTTTTAAATGAACACTATTAAAAATGGTAGTAATTTAATTATCTTTTATGTATTTTTTTAAGATATTGTATTTCCAGCTGTATTAAACATCACATATGTTCTGATGGTTTGCGATTTTGTCGGTGTGATTTTTCTCTGACTTTGTGGCAGTATTCTGCTTTAAAAAGAAAACAAAATATTAGTCAACGCAACATATAACTGAAAAAAATAAATAAATAAAACAAAATAAACAATTTAATTCCTGAAAAGGTTTATACATAGCATTTGAGCTTCACATTAAATTGGAATTAAAGGGATAGTTCACCCAAAAATGAAAATTTGATGTTTATCTGCTTACTCCCAGGGCATCCAAGATGTAGGTGACTTTGTTTCTTCAGTAGAACACAAACGAAGATTTTTAACTCAAACCGTTGCAGTCTGTCAGTCATATATAATGTAAGTGAATGGGAATCACGCCTTTGAGAGTCAAAAAAACATACACAAACAAAACCAAATGAAACCCTGCGGCTCGTGATGATACACTGATGTGAAAAGACACAAAACGATCGGTCCGTGCAAGAAACTGAACAGTATTTATATTGTTTTTTACCTCTGATTCACCGCAATGCCTGAACTGTCCTGAGCGCGTTCTCACCAGCCGGCGCCTGACGCGTCTTCTTCTTCTTGCTTTACGGCGAATCGCAGACTTATAAGTGCATTACTGCCACCTATCTCTCAAATGGACCATTGACACTACAATCTCAATTAGGAGTGTCAATGGTCCATTTGAGAGATAGGTGGCAGTAAT